TTTTCGCTGTGGGGGTCAGCACTCACCGTCGAAATGTCGATGCAAGAGCATGTTTTGTCGTTACTGTAAGAAGCTGGATCACATTGAGAAGGTCTGCATGGCCAAGGAAAAAGAGCAACGACAACGTCTAAAGGACAGGTCGAACGAATCACATGCTACACACGTGGTGCAAGGAGGCCAAGCCGACATGTCCCCACCCCGCTTTGACGTGTATGCAGTTGAAAATAAAACTGTGTCGCCGTACATGGTGACGGTTACTCTCAACAGAGTTCCACTTGCCATGGAAGTGGACTGTGGAGCTGCCGTATCTATTATCAGTGAAGCCACTTACAGGACGCTCGGAGCAAGGGCAACTCCGGCGTTGACAAAAGATGACCATCTGCTTAAAACCTGGACACAACAGTGTCTCACCGTACTGGAAAAAATAGAAGTCGAAGTAGGATTTTGAGGCCACACCCACACACTTTCACGTTTTGTTGCCAGTGGGAGTCATGCCAGCCTCCTTGGACGTGATTGGTTTGAAAGTCTGGGCATTGATGTCACAGGAGTCAACCCTTTACGCAGTTTAAATTTGCCGGGACTTTACCCCGACGTTTTCGCGGGAGGCTTAGGAGCACACCGTGGTGAGCCTATATCAATACCCATCGCCATAAATGCTACGCCGAAGTTTCTTAAGAGTCGCCCCGTTCCGTTCGCCCTTCGGCCCGCCATCGAAGAGGAGTTGGAAAACCTAGTGAATCAGAAGATACTAGAGTGTGTTCGACATAGTCAATGGGCCACACCCATTGTGCCAATCCTAAAAAGAAGCGGCAAGTTCCGCCTCTGCGGTGACTACCGTAGCACTATCAACCGGTTTGTGATAAATGAGACGTACCCGCTTCTGACGATCAATGACATTCGATCCACTTTAGCTGGAGGCGTGCTTTTTACAACATTGGATTTAGCTCAGGCGTATTAACAACCCCGGGTGGATGATGCAGCTGCGGATCTGATGACCATAAACACGCATGGAGGCCTGTACCGCGTGAGGCGGCTAGCTTTTGGGGTAACTTCTGCAGTTGCCATTTTTAAACGCTTTATCGACACGCTGCTGTCAGGAATCAGAGATGTGCTTCCTTACCTTGATGACATCCTTATTACGGGAAAAACAAGTACAGAACATGATGAACGTCTGAAAGAGGTATTGCGACGACTGTCAGAAGCCGGACTCCGCTTAAAGAAGGAGAAGTGCGTTTTCTCCTCAGCCAGCATCACCTACCTACGCTATCATTAAGACTCGACTGGTATTCGGCCAACCAAAGAAAAGGTAAAAGCTATTCGCGACGCTCCAGCACCACAGAATGTCACAGAGTTGCGTGCGTTTTTAGGAATCCTAAACTTCTACGGATGTTTCCTGCGGGATCGGGTGACTGTGCTGGAGCCGCTGCACAAACTGCTCGCCAACGGGGCAAGATGGCAGTGGAACAAGGCCCATGACGAAGCCAATTTACGGGCGAAACAACTTATCCAGAGTGACAGCTTACTGGTGCACTACGACCAAAGCCTGCCTCTTTCACTGTCCTGTGACGCTTCTCCTTACGGTGTAGGCTCTGTCCTTAGCCACACCATGCCAGTGGACGAGAAGCACCGGTGGCTTACTCCTCAAGAACACTAACTTCTACCGAGCGAAAGTATTCTCAAATTGACAAGGAAGCTCTGGCTATTGTCACAGGTGTCAAAAAATTTCACCAGTTTCTGTGTGGCCATCATTTCTTGATATACACTGACCACAAGCCTTTGCTGGGCCTGATGCATCACAGCAAACCTATGCCACAAGTCATGTCTCCACGGATGCTGCGATGGAGCCTGCCTTATATTATTGGCCTATGACTACGAACTGGTTTATCATCCAGGAAAACAGTTGACTAACGCAGATGGACTTGGTCGCGTACCACTGACGACCTCGACAGGCGAGATCTGTGGTACACCCATGAACTGCCTACTCTTAGAGGCGACACCAAACCCTCCACTCAACGCAAAATGAATCGCAGAAGGGACCCGCCGTGATCCTGTATTATCCAGGGTCTTATCATGCGTATTGAACCGATGGTCAGCACTGCCACCGGAGGAGTGTTTTCGGCCTTTCGTTCAAAGGCGGCACGAGTTATCAGCTCACAAAAACTGTCTGCTCTGGGGTAGTTGGGTGGTTGTGCCGCCTTCCAGTAGGAAAAAAACATTAACGCTGCTCCACAACAGCCACCCAGGTATCGTGCGAATGAAGGGCTTGGCTCGTAGTTATGTGTGGTGGCCCAAAATAAACTCTGAGATCGAACAAACGGTCAGGCAATGCCTTGCTTGCCAAGAGTCGCGTCCTGCTCCCGCGAGGAGCCCTACGATTCCTTGGGAATGCACGAGCAAACCGTGGTCTCGCATTCATATAGATTTTGCTGGCCCTATGCATAACAAAACATTCCTCATTGTCGTACACAGCTACTCAAAGTGGCTGGAGGTAATTCAAGTGACCTCAATGACAACATCATGCACGGTATGCCACCTTCGTGCTTTGTTTGCCACTCATGGGCTTCCCGACGTCATCATGTCGGATAACGGAGCGTCTTTTACTTCAGCAGAATTCGAGCAGTTTTGCGCCCAAAATCAAATCCGCCATGTTCGTGTCGCGCCATATCACCCGAGTTCCAATGGACAGGCCGAACCAATGGTACAGACGGCTAAAGAGAACCTTCTTCGTATGGACTGCAGTGATTGGTCGCTCCGTCTGGCGAGAATGTTGTTCCCACAGCAATCCACTCCCCACTATGCGACCGGGAAAACTCCGGCAGAGCTTCTGATAAGACGACAGATCACGACGGCGCTAAATCAACTGCATCCAGACCTGGATGCCGATATCAACGCACGAAATGAAGGTGCTTACGGGAACCAACCGTCAGCTGAAAAATTGAGTTTTAACCCAGGTGATGAGGTGTACGCCCGAAACTACGCATCTGGGCCTGCTTGGGTACCTGGCAATATAGAAGCTGGAACAGGTACGAAATCGTACATTGTGCATACAAATCAAGGACAATTCTGTCGTCGTCAGATAGACGAACTACGCGCCCGTACTTCAGCTACTGTGGGTGAGTCAGGCGATGTCGAATTCGGCCGAGCGCCGTTGCTAGCGCCTGCCCTGCCTCCCTTACCGCCGAGTTCATCAGAGCCAAACATGCCTCAGCAGCGCACCTCAGCTCAACAGTCGCCTAGGCAAGCCGTGAACTCACCCAACGGTGGATGTCAGATCAACAGTCGCCCAGCAAAGAAGTGAACTCGCCCCAACAGCGAGCTTTTCCTCAGCGGTGGCAGGGGGAAGCAACATTAGACAGTTTTAGTATAGCGTTGCTGGCTCTTACGTACGCAATACGCAATAGTATAGCGTACGCTGAAAACGACCCGCTCGGACCGATTTTAGTTGTGCGTTACGTTTCCGAGTGAACACCTCTCATGACCTTGGTTAAATTTTCCAGAATCGCAGAATTCCGCGGGCTTATAGCGCCACCATGCTCCTGAAAATGAATATCGCAAATGAAAACGTGTCCAATCATTTTATTCAAAGTCAAACCAAGCCGCAGCTGCCTCGTCCAGCGCGCTTTTCTGCGGGGAATGGATGCAAAGCCCAAATTCGATCACGGAGCCTCTGTCACTAGTCCCGTGGAAATGCCACCTTTCATCAATGCTATCCCGGAATGAAATTCATGACCTACTGAAGTCCAGTGCTTAGCGAGAACTTCGGCGATTTCTTGAAGAGTCGTTCGTTCGTCGAAGATGAACTGAGCGAATAGGGGGCATTCACTGGACGCCATATTTGAGGGTGCTGTTGAGAGCGCATGCTCAGAACGAGCTCACATTAATAGGCTGCTAAGACCGGCAATCTTGACGGTGCGGAATGCACGTTACAAAAAGAACTGTGGAAGCTTGTCATCCGCACGCGCTCAGCATTTGCGCACACGGCTATGGCCGCCAGTGAATACTCCCTATAGGCCTAGCGTCAAGCAGAGCGCAGCCTTGACGCACAATTCGAGCGGTGAGCACTTTCACTGTGCACTCTTTCAGGTGCACGGCGATCTGATTCGACCGCGGTACGTCCCGCAAAGAAGTGCCGCGCTGAACACCACGTTATTTCACCGTTCGCTTAACACAGAACGTAGAGAACACCACGACGCCCTTGCTGCGCCAGTCAAGGTAACCGACATCTTGAAACTGGCGCTCTCGTTGGGCCCGAGATCTCTCGAGAGCTCCCCGCAACGCAACATCCCCAGCGTTGCGTGCGTACGAAATACGCTAGTCCTTCTACTGCGTTCTGAGCATGCGCACTCACGACCCGCAATTTCCTTGCGTACGCAAAGCTATAGCGTACGGTCCACTAAAACTGTCTAATATTGGTCATGCGTCGGGCAGTGGACGCTGCGATGCGAAGCCCAGTAATTCCTATAGTAATATTTCTCCGTTTCATTTTACGCCAAAACCGCGGCCGACGCTGCCATCCGCAGGAGACAATCGAGCAACTCCAAAAGTCCATTGTCACGGTGCTCATAGCCTTTGTGCGTTTGATAATAACCGACTAAACCAATTACGCACAGGGAATGCGCCGCGAGCCTGCGATTTTCTTTTGCGCGTGATTGTTAGCAAATTTAACCCCCCCCCCCCCCCAAAAAAAAAAAATGGGTGGCGCCCGGACGTAGCATTTCGGTGCTGCCTGATCGGCTGCATCAAATTGTGAGATCGGCTGCGGTTTGGCGTAAAATGAAACGGGGAGTAGTGAGCTTGCTCCGGTATGTACTGACATGAAATTGGTGCCAGCTGAGCTTCCTATTGTTCGTTGCAGAATGGCTTAATAGGTAAAGTTGTTACTAAAACACTAATAACACCGATATTTTAATAATTGTTTCGGTAGTACGAAGAACCCAAGGTCAAAGTATCCAAATTATTTATTTATAATTTCTTCGGTTGTCAGACATGTCAGGGAGGTTTTACCTCGTTCCCCTCGGGCCCCAGCACCCATCATACTGACATTTCTGAAAAACAAAGGTTACACATTAATTTAAAAAAAAATATATATATATATATATTATCTGCAAGGAGGATGGGACTAAGTCGGAGAAATAGGCACACACAGGACAGCTACTAACTGGCGAGTAATGCTATTCAACGACTCCAACGTCACATATTGTCACGGGTGGTGACGAATAAACAAGAAATAAAGAGAAATAAATAAACGTTTAATGTGGCGAACTTGTGCGAAAAATAAAGAAGGAAACAGAAGAAAGCAGAGCGTCGCGGGCGTCGAAGTCGGCGTGTCAGCAGAGTCGAACGCTGGGGCGAAAACTGACTCGACAAGGTCGCGGGCGGCCTCTTATCTAGAGTGCGTCGCTATCTCGAAGATTCGGCGAAAGCGGCTCGAGCGTCGCGTGATCGGGCGAGAATGAACACGCACTTTCTAGAAAACAAAAGCAGGAATAAATGATAGAAGTTACGAGCGGTACATGAATAAACGAGAACTTTCTGGAGGCCCGTGACCGAGCGTTGCTTTCTCAGCCCTGGGCGCGGCAATATTTCGTTCCGCAGACGAGCACTCTTTATCATCTTGTTGTGGAAAAACACAACCGACCAGCGAAAAGTTATCTCTTGATAAACTGATATCTGGTAAGGCCAGATACATCTGTTTATCCTACCTTTTTTTTTAAGTTTGGTTGGGACATGCGTGTCAACAAATCAATTTTACGCGAAAAAAAAAATTATTTAGAGCAATATTGACGGCGCGAGACGCAATTTAGTTGGTAGTCATTTCCTTTCCATTTGTTTTCTCTCTCGGCATTTGGGGCATGTGGAGGAGAGGTGGATCGGCTTCGTCTTCACGTCGAGGTCGAAAGAGGGAATGACCGTTCCGTGACGTCATGAACTTTGTGGGTAGAATTTCAAATAAATCTATCGCCGTCAAAATTGCTGTAAAAAGTTCTTTTTCTCGCTTAAAATTTATTTTTTTGACACGCGTGTCCCTTTCAGACTCTTAAAAAAAACGTTTTCCCTCCTGGGGTTTTTAAGTAAGGACATCATGGTTCTCTTGTTATGGTACGTCACTAGAGAACAATACGGACAGTTATATTAAACCACCACATCATTATGTTTTCCTGATGCAAATAGAATGGGCCTCATGCATCAACACAAAGCAAAGAAAAAGAAGAATAAACCGTGTGATATATAACGTTTTAATGACGTTTAGACTGCTGTAGGCACGTTCTTGCTAGGTTTTTTTTATAAACTTGTTTTGTGGTTATGAAAAGGGTATAGCCGCTGCATACTTACTTTGTCATTAAGCCCACACGGTGTACCATCGGGAAGCTTATGTGTCTGTGATGCGTTCGAGTCTCCAAATTTTGCCCAGCACTCCATCGTGCAGCTCTTGAAGTCAACAGATTTCTGAGAACGAAGTGTGAGAGTCAGACAGGTTAAATTACACCGGATGTTACGAATCTGCTAAATGTCTAGTAGAGCTGCGCTATACAGCATCCCCTCCGTACGCACCACACTTTGTGCTCCGCCGCTCTTGCATAATTCGTCTAAATAACTTCGCAAATGTGAATTAGTCCAGAATGACAACAGTGCCTGCATTGCCTGAGGGCTGAATCTTTGTGCTCTTGAAACTGTAACCGTAAAAATAGAGAACATAGGAAAATTATTTGTAGAGATTCTTCTTTTTTTAACAACAATTGTATAAGAAGTTCTAAATTTTATAAGAATAAGTGTTACTTCGAAAAAATAAAAAATGATTAAAGGTCACTTGGGCCACATGAGAAGGAGGGACAAGGGTGGACTTTGGCGGGGGGGGGACCTATGTGAGGAAAGTGAGGAAGAACAGACCTGGAAGGCATCGAAATTGAAGATTCTATTTTAGATCCGCAACAAGTTTTCTCAAACTCTGGTATTTTAACATTTTCGAGTACGAAATTTTTATGCTAAGACCTGCTGCCGAGGTTGCGGGAGGCCATCACACGCCGCGGGAAGCTAACCAAGAGAGTGCGTTTGCTCCGACACAATACACCATTTCATTCAGCGAAGCGGACGGTGACGGATGCGGCTCCTTTCGGCAATTACATACTGCCCCACTTCTGGTATTTATCGCACCAGGGTGGGGAAAATGTCCGGATTTGAGAAACAATCAAGTCAATCAATTTATTTGATTCGAATCAGATTCATTTCATTTAGGTAGATTAATTTGATATTGAATCACTGTAGCTAGGAAATAATGAGCCTTTATTACTCGATGGATTTTCAACATGGAAGATTGATTAGCTAATCCGTCCGATTCCTAAAAACGACACGAAATAAATAATAGGCGGCGAAGCACTGGTAACTATAGGCCAATTACACTGGCAATCGTGGATTATAAAATACTAATGAAAGTGCTGGCTAGGGAGGCTGCAAAGGACGATAAGGAAAATTGTAGGCCCACATCAGACATCCGGAATTAAGGGACGCAGTATATGCGCACATACACACACCGCTAAAGGTGAACTGGAAGTTTGTGACTGGGAATATCAGAAAACAGCAATGATTCAGCTACACATGGAAAAGGCCTTAAATCGTGCGTCCCATAAATTTTTTTATTATTTTTTTTTTTTTTTGCATTTTGGATTCTATCGGCGTTGGTTCAGTTCTGCAGCGGGAAGTAGAAATGGCCAAGACTAACGGCTAAAAAAAGTCGCTAAAGTTGGGGCCGAAGTTTGCGGAGCGCTTTGATTCAACTCTCGCGACGGTGGCGTCACGCGAGACGAGACGTCAATCATCGGAGCTCTCACGGTGCTCAAATTCTATCAAATTTGCTAAACACAAATCTTAGCGAGTTTCATCAGAGCACGCGCGAGCAACACCGTGGGGCAGGCCGATTGAATGGCTGCACCGATAACGTCGCGTCCGCGTGTCCCTACATCCCGACGCCACGCTAGAATCAATGCTGTCCAGATTGTCCCTAGGCAGGCTGTGAATACTCTGGACTAGGGCCACTAAACGGGCTGCGCTTAGAGTATCGGCACTCCGTTCCCCGACTTTGTTGTGGGCGCCGCCATTTTGGCTCGTATGCAGAGCAGACGCAGTTGCCGATCGTCATGATCCAAAAGTGCGTCTTCCTCAGCATTAGATTCGGTGTTAGGAAGCTCATGTAACATTGCTTTGCTCTGTTTCGAGCTGCTTGAACATTTGTGCAGGGTGGAAAAGCGTTTCCTAAGATTTCAGATAAAGCTTCAGATAACTGGCAACTATGATTTTAAGCTCCAAGATGGGTAAGTGCCGTTACTCTGAAGCGTAGCTTATTCAGTGGTCTTCGTAGTACATGCATGACGCACCTGGCGGTGGGTCATGCAGAAGTTCCTAAGCTAAACAGTGATACCGAGTGATTGCCGGCTTTGGCCGACTTGGTCGCCTTACGAGCCCTTTGACCTCTATCATTACGGCTCCCCGCCAAAAGACTGGGGGGGAGCATTTTAACCTCACGTGTCCTTGTTAGCTCGGTGTGCATTTCTTTTGTACTCATTTACTACCTGTTCATCTAGGTTTTGTACTACATCATGTTACCAAGGTAGTAATAATAAAGTGCCTTGCGTGGCCTACACAGTAGCGTGTCTGCACTATTAGAAAAACTCCTGTCAAAGTATGGGACACAGACATGCTAACCTTGTTGCCACAACACGTACTGTTTTACCGGACTACCATGTTCCATACTTCTTTAGTTTGGGACATGTTGTTGTTGTATGGGCAGCCGCAACAAGTTCCATACGCCATCATCACGGAACAAGTAATGTATGCTACAGGAGATGTTCCATCATGGCACACAGCAGCACATGTTCTGTTGCAAGCCATGCCAGAACACGTACCATTTTTACGAAGCAGATCCCATGTTCCAATGCGTCCAAAACAGCACAGGTCACATTTCTAGCTAAGCAGAAGGCCTCCGTACCGTCGTCACAGTCAGATCGATCGAGGCCTGAGATTGGGCACGAGTGCTGCGTCAGTGTTCGGCCGGGGCTCGTGTTCAATCAGTACGTCGAAGGTCGGACTCGGGCCCAATAGCCGAGGTAGCGCGATGCGACTCTGATGATATTTCATGAAGGGAAAGGAGGCCATGCGGAGGCTTTCATTATTCTAGGTGATGTTGGTCTGGCTCGCAACCAAAGGGTCGTGGGTTCGAATCCCACCTAAAATTCTTAATATTTTCCTTCTTTAAAAGGGCGGTTCCTAATCTTTTTGTGGTGCAACATGTCAATATATTTATTTTTCTCCGAGACCAGAGACGACCATTTTTACGAACCCTTATTCGAGTGAAATTACGCAGTGCACTTCCTGGGTTTATTGTTTCGTCAAGCAAGGACGTAGGTGCCTGTGTACGCGGGTATATGGAATATGTTGTTGGACCTTAATGACTTTTAGTCGCGCGTTTCTTACTCAAATACTTGTTTTGTGTATCGAACAAGCAACCAACGAAGGATTTAATTAATTTTTTTTAATTCTTCTGTATCGTTTTTTTTTTTTCCTCCTTAGTACAGTACCAAAGCAGGATATATTGAAGTGAGTCTAGCGAATGGTGGTACCCTCTATCGCCAATACTTTTTTTTCAAGTTGCACAGTAAAAAAAAATCCAGTCAAAGCCTGGTAAGTTGGAGAAGGTATCCCAGTAACTTGATCTGACAGCTGCATACTGTGCAGAAAGCAAAAAAACTTTCAGCTTTTCCACCCTGGTGAAGAATGAAGAGCAGCGGAGCTGTAGCTTCTGTTCTCGGCGGTGGCTTTCCAGGCGAGCGGTCTGCTCCTCTTTCGCAAGGGAATCTGAAGCTCTCGACCCAGTGTAACTTCAGGCGAAAGCGGACTCGCGGCGGTTGCGAAACCATTCCAGGGTTAGGCAGTTTCGCGATACAAATGCATCCCGATAGTATTTGAGAAATACATTTCGTATCTGTATTTCCGTATCGCGATACATTTTTTTCCCCAATATCTGTATTCCTGTATCGAAATACATTTTGGAATGTTTCTTTGTATTGCGATACAATCAGGATGAAATGTATTTCGTTACATTTCTCTTTCTTCCCCCCCCCCCCCCCCCCCCCCCCGGGCCGAAAAAAAAACAAGACCGAGAGCATATTTTTTTATTTGTTTTTACTTCTCAGGGCATCAGGGTTATGGAGATGCTGGAGCATTGTTGCTATGCTGACCGAGGTTCCTTCCGATTCTCCTAACTATTTTTTCATGCGTCGTCTTCTCTCTTCTGAGAAGTGTTGCGTAGTCGGCGCTGGCCAATCGCGAGGACGGATCTGCCGTCGCGATAGGCAAGAGCCACTCGATATGGCAGCGTAGCTGCCAGAGTAGCGCCACGCTTTTCCTTGTGCCGCCTCTCACCGTGATTGGTCACACGCGGTAGCATAGCAACGAGCTGAGCTGGCTCGGTTTCCTTGGCAATCGAGTGACTACTCGTCACGTGACCTCGCAAGAGCCGTGATGTCACCGGTAAGATGGCAGCGCCCAGAGCTGGTGGATACGAGTTTGTTCGGTGCGCGGTAGTCGTAATGTGCCGCTGCTTGCCGACGATTTCGGGCTTCTTCGTGCTCTCTGACGCAGGTATAACGTGAAGATCTGAAAGAATGTGACTTTATACCTTTTCTGTACAAGATCGCTCTGGATATTAGCACCTGTGCGACAGCATCGGTCATATCGCCGTAGTGGTGGTCGTATTCCTGGATGTGTTCGAGGATCGATAAGACATTTTGCATGCAATTTTTGCATACTCCTAGCCTTGTTTGAACGTTGGAATGTCTGAGAATCAATGCGAATTGTATGCGTCGCATGTTGGACCTTGGGGAAGTTGTTTCAGCCCCAGGTAACCGCGTAATCACAAACTTTTAGCGAGGAAGCTCCTGCGATCTTCACGTCTAAATAACGATCTTACGATATAGCTTTTAGGATAACATTTTCACATTTTCTAGCTTCCTTTGAATGTTTGAATTTCTGAGAATCGAAACGAAAGGTATACTTCGTGTTTAGGGCCTAGGGGAAGTTGTTTCAGCCCTGGGTCACCGAATAATCACAGCAACTTTAAAAGGATACTACAACGAAATTTCGGCGCTCATTTTTTGGTCTATACGCGCTCAAAGGAGCAGCATCACATCGAACATACCAATATCTTGTTAAAAAAGTCACGAAAAGGAATTTTAAGACGAATTAAACGATTAGCAAAGAGCACCTGGTGGATGTCGCTAACGCCTCGCTTGTAATGCCCGTCTAGGAACCTTGACAGATAGTGACGGAGGTTGTCTCGCCTCCGGCCACGACGAGAGAAGAGGGGCAGGAGGAACTCCCCTCTTCCCGAGAATGCCTTTTGTGTGTCGCAGAAGTCGCTATTGTCCCCCTACAAGATTACTGAAGATTATCCCGTCACTCAAAATTCGTACAAAAGCAGCCGCTTCGGTGGCTGGAACGACTAGGCCATCCCCTCGACGTCAGCCTCGCCGTAGCTTTGCTCGTCCTGAGACGACCTACGTCACTATTGCGTTGGAATTCACGTGGTCTCCGCTGGGCCTTCTCCGAGTGCTTGCCAGAGTGGGCCGTTTATAACGAAAAATACAGCCACCAGGCTCAAGATACAAACGTGCGATTGTCA